CTTGAAGAGGCTATTGCTCACCTCTTGATACATAAATTGGGTGTCCTCTAGGGCTTCAGGAATTGGCCATAGCTAGAGAAAGGACACAGGGAATGATTCTGCTGCTGGTTTTGGAAGCCACTCAGGTTCCCAGCTGGTTCTTCTTGCCCATAAAATCAGGACTAAACAGATTGCCAAATTTGGAGTCATTTTGCTCTAGATTCGTCTGAGAGCTATGAGGCTACAACACCAGCAACGCTGTTAAACTTTTCTCTTCCCTCATAGATTTTGGCCTGTTGCACTGCAAAGCTTAAATTTGTTGCAGAGTATTGTTAATATGTTTTGTGGTTTATGAAAAGTGGGATATGTGAAGCAGGTATTCTGAAGTGGATCTGTCATAGTAAAATGTGTGTGTTTACAGGAGGGGAGAGGCTTCAGTGACAGAGTCCCCTCTGCCATGAAATTCCCATTCACTTTTCTGTATTTTGAAGTTATAGCTGTTCTTCAAAAGGTTTTTGAACAGAGTGGAGCGCTAATTTCTGTTGGCTCTGTTTCCGAGATACCTAATGAGAAAATTCAAGAAGGCTGTAGTTTGGTAGGTTCTCTCCTGGCAATCTTCTCTTCCACCTGTTTGGAAGCTCTCCCGCAGAAAACTGCACATACTGGATCAGTTTCAGTGAACTGCAAACATTAATTTCCTTAGCTCCCTAGTAAAGCCCATTCGTACTGAAACTATTAGTGGAATATATTTTCTTTTTTTAACACAAGCCCTGTATTTTATCTTGCTGAATGAGGGGAAAGAAAACCCTAAACCTGAATTCCTTTTCAAACCAAAGTGTAATATGCAACCGCATGAACAAAACACTGCAATCAAATTGTAACATTTCAGTTTCACTCTGGCAAATAGATAATACAGTCATAATCTGTGAGCATCAAAAGTAAGTAGCTGTCCCCATTTCTGAAGTGTGTAAAACGAAATTTTGAAGGAAAGCATCTTCTACTATGATTGTTAATGCTTTTTCTTATTGAAGAACCTTCTTCTTATTGAAGAACCTCTTGTTTGCTGCAGCTGTGTCATAGCTGAATAACATTAACTAATGTTTTAACTGGACTTTTTAAAGTTGGGTGGTGTTAGGGTTTCATTTGCTCTCAAGTCAGCTTGGATTTTATGAGACTATGGCTTTTCTTGAAGGAGTTCCCTAGTTGCTTCACCTAGGTTATCTGAACACATTAGCACCTCATTTAGTTGTTTAAAAGTTTAAACAGCATTTTGCTGTTTGAATGCTTAGTGGGATTAAAGATCCTATCACATCAAAAGAGTGAGTTTTCCCTTTGTCTACATCTTGCAGCTCCGACTGCCTCCCCTTCCTTCATGGTTGCCTAAATTGTCTCTCAATTTAATTCAGAGTGAAATGACTTTCAGTGGCTGGGAAAAAAATCCAAAAAGTACAGCCGATGTAAAAGACTTCAAGCGGAAAAGGGCCCTGTTGGTTGTTCTTGGCACAAAAAGCGGCTGCGGTTGACTTCGCTTGGCCTTGTCAGTGCAAAACACCTCTGAAGCCAGTTTCTGCAAGAGCTTTTCGTGGACTTCCCAAACCCGCATCCCCTGTGGCCCTGAAGCACTGCCAGGCTGAGGCTACGGCGCAGGACCCGCAGGACCCCGCAGGGCAGTCCCCCTGTGGCTTCCTGCCTCCCCGCCTTGCACTTTCCTCGTTGCATTAAGCCGTCCCGAAACAGCCAGGACAAACTTTCATTTCCCTGAAGGGAAAGGGGCTTTGAATAGCCAGTTGCTCAGAAGCCAGCCGTGCTATGCGTTTCAGGAGACATAGCGAAGGAAGCAGCAGGTTTCGGTAGCGAAGGAACGAGGCCAGCGATTGCTGCGGCGCGTCGCCGGGGGTCTGAACCTCACCTCTGCGGCCACCGCTCAGGAGCGCGCAAATCTGAGTGCGGCCAGCTAACACGGATAGGCAGGGCGCAGCTTGGCTTATCCAGCCGATCTCTGCGCCTTGACCATTCAAAACAGCAGAGGCTGTAAGCCTGGAGGCGGACAAATGTGGCCAGGTCTTCTCGTGAAGAGGAACTGACCGAAATCTACCCGACTGTTGTGAAGTTAGGAACGCAGACGTATTGTTAAGTGCTGGCAGAGAAGATGAAGAAACCGGACTGTGTGCGCAAAGGCTGCCTCTGTGGTCCTCATCGCCAGTTTGATTACGTTCAAGTCTGGCAGAATCGTGCAGTTAAGCAATTACTTATTTGGCTTTCTGCGTTTTCTGAGTTTGCATGGCACAAGCGCAAACTAGAGTGAAGGATGCTCTCACATCATTAAAAATACTGAGCCGCAAGACAGTAAGCAGAAAGCCTGCCGCATAAGTCATAGGGTTTCTTTTAGCTTCCACGGACAGCTAAAGTTAAGCCTGTCAATCACAACACTTTTTGTTTCTTTAAGTGACAGAGGATGTTTCCCAGGTTTACGATTGTTTGGGCTATTTACTGGGTATTAACTGATTGACTTATGATGTGTCAGTCTGACGCTCTTTATTCAAGATTGTTCCCAGAGATATTTTTCTCATTTCAGTCGCTTTCAGACTCAGCTTGTCCCCCTCCTTTGGGGAGGAACTATAACGCAATTTTTTCCTTTCTTTTTCGTTTTGGTTGTCCTCGGAGGACAGCGATTTCAGTAGCGTGTTGCATTGCAATTTCCGGCCTCGCCGCCCCACAGCGCCGTGTTTCTGCGGGGAGCAGCGCAGCGGCGTGAATGATCACGAGTGGGGCTCGCATGGGGGGAACGCCGGCGTGGGAGCCCGCCCGGCACGGCGTGTCCCGCCCGCGGCACCTACG